AAAAATTTCTCTTGGAAGGCACCAACGAAAGACTCCCAAGCCCCTCCAATACGACCTCGAACAAACTTCCACCACTGACCTGCGTCTCCCTTCAGTTGGAAGGACGCCAAGGTCACTCTCAAGCCTCCGTCTTCGATGCCAAGCATCTCAAACGTCTTTGTCATCTGCTCAAGCCACTCATCAGCATTAAGTGGCTCTTTAGGATCCCCTAGAAACTCATCCGGATTAGATCGGAAAAACTCCCTCTTTAAGAAAGAAGGTCCTGCCTCAGCAACATGGGCTTGGACTTGATTCTTAGCTTTGAGAATGTCCATGGATTCCCTCAATGCTCCTGCCGTCTCGCGGGCTAAGGCGCCCATGGCCTACTGGCTCGGCCACATTGGCCTGACCAACACTCTCTTGCTGCACCGAAATTTCATCCGGTATAGGCATCTCCTGCCTCCTAGGCCTACCTCGCCTACCCCCACGTCCTCGTCCTGACATCCTAGTAAAGGTAACGAGAACATTAGCACATTTACAAATGTTCCGAAGCTATTTCACACGCGTCCTAATGCATTGGACAACAGTAATTCATTCCACGTAAGCACATAATCACATAAGCACTTACGAATTTCATTTCCTGATAATGACAGTCCCGTGGTATTGCTAGAGTTCCGGTTAGAAATAACATTGATCAAGTGCTTTTCCGACAAGACTCCTAGAAACTCAAGGATCCAATTAACATCCTAGAAATTAAATCCCATACCCATTTAGCCAAATAAACATGTTATCACGTAAGCACATAACATCATACATAAGTCTCTAACAAGCGAGACAAACCCATTGTGGTATTAAACACTTCCCACATACCCAAAGTATTCAAACCCGGTACGCTTTGATACCAAGTTGTCACGCCCTCAAAATAATACATATAAACCCAACACATATGACTTCCATAAACATAAAAGGATAAAACATATTTCCATTCATCAGAGTATTTAGTTCAAAGGTATTACATGTTGACAACAAAAGTAAATGCCATACGGACTTACAACTTTCCAAACCAACACTTGGTTACAAAAATAGAGAGTTCTAACTCTAAATACATTAATCCCTTGGCTTGAATTTACATGTAACACCAAAAGATAACTACACAAAAGTAAGCACCCAACTTCTAAACCTCCCAAGATATATCCTTGGAGGCGGTATATCACCTGCACCTGAAAATGATGTCCCGTCTAGGGTGAGCCAATGCCCAGTAGAGATATGCTAAACATAATATGAACGATAACTAAAACATTAACTTTTGATAAATGTTTAACTCAAATAAACAGGCGTACATCGCTTTCATAACCAATCCATATTCACAGATATATATATATGTCAATCCTTTTCCGTTTTGTTATCCAAACCAAATCATAGATATGGTTCTCAATTCATCCAGACAGTTTATAACAAGACTGCAACCCACATCATTAACATTCCCATACATCAACTCAAAATGAGATTACAACTCATATCAATAATACTTCAACACTTCAATTCATATACGTTATGCAAACGTAATCAAGATTTCAGGACTTTCACCCCGGACACTCCGGCTAACTTAATTATTAATGGAGTCTATCCCCTATCTCCTCCCAAACAGGTTTGAGAGTACATCCCCTATCTCCTCTCAAACCTTGGAGTACATCCCCTATCTCCTCCCAAACAAGATACATATGCAATGTATTTAAACACTTATCATGTACAATGATCAAGAACGCACATATTCAATGTGTTATTTCATCCGCCATATTCAATGACGTACCCAATTAATTAGTTTTAATTCACCTAATCATTATGCAGTGTCTACAACAATCAAGACTATCCTCCACCGATAGCCCAAAACAATTATTTCTAGATAGATAATAAATTCATCAAACAAATAAATTATCAACATTTTCATAGGTGAGTGATTAATCAATCCAACTACACCATTCCATCTTATAACTCCCCGATTTTTATTATTTCCAAACTAATTTCACGTTCACATAATTAGTTTCGTTAATTACACCAATGACCCGATTAGGCCTAACTAAGGCATCTTCCCCTTTTCTCAACATTGACTGAAAGGTCCAAATAACATAAATAAACATCAATAACCTCATTTTAAGAACCATATACACATATATAGTTCAAAAGGAACAAAACCCCTCTTTAAAGATTTCAAGATTTGAAACCCTAACACCCAAAATTTGCCAACCTCAACATTAAATCAAAATGACTACATGTTCATGCCAAAGGCCATAAATATGAGTAGTTATCCCTACCTCAAATGAAGAGACCCAAAGGAGATGATGAAGAAACTCAAAAGTGCTCCAAATCGACAACTTTTTGGATCAAAACGAAGATCTCGCCAAACTCCACACTTTATACAAAGGAACTAGGGGAGAAGATCACTAGAACTAGATGTATTTGTAGAGAGAAGATGTTTTATAGAGAGAGAAGCTGTTAAATGAGAGTTTTGGAATGTTTTAGAGAGAGAAAGAACCGAAAAAGTGATTTAAAATGACTAAGTCGCGATCTGATATACGTATAGTCCGCTCGAGCGGAAAGTAAGATGCTCGAGCATAAGACACAAAAACTTTACCCGCTCGAGCGCAAATAGACTCGCTCAAGTGTAAGGAACTTCGCTCGAGCATGAAAAACAATTCTGCAGTATCTCTGCAGACGCACACAATGCTGAAAGAATGCAAACTCTGCTCGAGCGCAACAATACCTGCTCGAGCGGATCATCAGAAATCTGGGCGACAAGATTAGAGACTAAAACTCAACCAACCTGTTCGAAACATGCCCAAGACATTTCTAAACTCGAATTCAAAGAGTTAAAGGGTGAAGATGAGATGTAGACAATAACGACAACAACAACAAATGACGGGGAAAACCGGGATCGCTATACATTATCTTTCCACAACCAAAATGAGATTACAACTCAGTGGTTTTCCAACTATGCAAAACACAGATGAACACTTCAAACTTTGCCATTATACGGATATTTCGTCCGAAGGAATCGACACCCATTTTTATATGAAATTTCGGGTCTTTCACCCATGACACTCTGGCCAACTTGATTTAAATGGAGTCCATCCCCTTTCTCCTCTCAAACAAATATACATATGCAATGTATTTATAAACATAATCATATATGGAGTACATCCCCTTTCTCCTCCCAATAAACATACATATATAATATGTATTTATAACATGGTCATATTCAATGACACCAACAATGAATTAGCATTAAATCGCCTAATTCTCATGCAATTTCTACAACAATCATGGCTATCCTCCACCGATAGTCCAATTCAATTATTTCTAAAGAGATGTTCAATCTCAAATAAATATTTTATTCAAAATTTATATAGGTGAGATAATACATATCCAATATCACCATTTACATCCACAACCTTCCAATTTCACATTTTCAATGTTAATTTCCAATTATTTATACAAAATAATAGCTTGTTCAAGTTAGGGAAAAATCTCAAAATCAACTATTCTGGCACAACATAATTCTATATTCAAGCCTTATACTCACTTACCTCATATTTATCAAAACCCCTCTTTTCATTTCACACCCAAATCTTAGATTTATCCCAAACCACAATTTTTTTAATTAAAAGGCGTGATCAAAGTTTCATCCCAAGACTTTGAGTTTAATTAAGAACAATCTTACCACTTAGGCAGCATACATATTATAATATTAATTTCTTTATTATTTATTTTTATTCTTACTTATATGAATGGCACATATATTGCGTGTGTCACTTGCTAATCATTATTTACATGATTTATCATTTTTAATAAACATATCTATATATATATATATTTTTATTTTGAACATTTGGATTATAAATTTAGATAGAAATTTGGAAAAACAAAGGGAAATAAAAAAAAAAAAAATTATATTTTGCTGACATTACTTTTACATTTAAAAAAAATAAAAATCTTTACTTAAATTCATAATCAATACATAAAATAAAATTTTGTCTCATCAATCATCACTGACGTTGAATTCCAATATACAAGCCTACTTCATTCTGTTATTAAACAGGATGACGAAATGAATCTTTGCAGGTTTCTTTTCCAAAGTTGGAGACACTATTTCTCGATAATTGTGTAAACTCAAGAGAGATACATCCTTGGAATGTTCAAGCTGGAAAAATAAGTTTAAAATTCCTGGACGTAGCGAATCTGTACATGTTAATTGTGAGAAATTGTAGTGAGGTGGCAGAGGTTTTTCAACTTGAGGGGCTAAATGTTGGAGAAGGACAACATGTTAGGCCATTAATTGAAGTAAGAATAATGGAATTGGATGGATTACCTCAATTGACATGTTTGTGGAACAAGGATCCCCATGGAATTTTGGGCCTTCAAAGCCTACAATACCTAACAATTAAGAAATGTTCCCTCTTGAGAAATCTATTCACATGTTCCACCGCCATGGCTCTTCAACAACTTAAAGTACTATATTTGGAGTCTTGTTCGGTGATGAAAGAAGTTATTGCAGCAACAGAGGATGGGCTCAAGGAAGTGATTGATGATGTGATTGAATTCCCAAAGTTGGAGTGGCTAATACTGAAAGATCTACCAAACCTCAACAGTTTCTGTAATGCAAACTATAATTTTAATTTACCATCATTACAGAGAGTTGTTTTGAAGAGGTGCCCGAAGATGCACAACTTTTCATTTGGACAAGTATGCATATCACAGATATTTGTAAGTACCCGTGGCAATGAAGGTCTTCAGATAAAAGATCTCAATAAGTATTTAGAGGAACGGCTTCTGAAAGGAGAGGTAGACTTTCTTTCTCAACTTGATTTATGATTAATTATTTTTTTCATTTGATGAACTCTTTTATCTTTGAATATTTAAAAGAGACTACTCAACTGGAGTGCTTCACATGTATTTTTTTGATTATATGTATTTTACTTTCTTTTCTTTTAGGAATATGCAACCGTGGATGAAAATGATTACGACGGCGATGAAGAAAAGTTCTCCAACCTTGGATGGCTATATGAGTAAAGTAAGTTGATCATCCTTTATTATTAATATATATGTATAAATTTCATAATATTTATAGGAAAATTTTATAATAAACATGTTAAAAAAATGTATCATATGTCCAGTTATGATTTATTAGTTAAATATAATAAGTTAATCCTCCTTTTAAAAAGAAAAAAAAAGGCAAATTACGATGGTGGTCCCTATATTTTACTTCTTGTGTCATTTTGGTCTCTACACTTTCAATTAACTCAATTTTAATTCCTATTTTTAGATTTTATTTTAATTTGTCCAATTAATAATATTGTTAGTTTTTTTAAGGAAAATTATCACTAAATTGATTGAGGTTAACTAACTGAGTTGAATAAGTTTATAATTTTACCCTTAAAAATATGGCACATGACATGTACATGCTTATTTTTCATAAAAAAAAAAAAAAAAAATATTAAAAGTTGTAATCAATTGGATCAAATTGAGACAAAATCATAAATTCAGGGTCAAAATCGAGCGAGTTGAAAGTACAAGGACTATTGTCGTAATTTGTCCAAAATATATATATAGGGTAATGCTACCATAAACAAGTTATGTCATTTGTGAGTTCGATTATCATAGATGACATAACTCAATAGTATGAGAATCATAACAAATAATAATAATAATAATAATAACCAAACATCACATGAGGTATAACCAAACAACTCTTGAATCATAACAAAAATAATTTCATAACCAATATCACAATGTGTCATAATTGACAACACAAAAAGGCATAACCAAAGACACAAAAGTGTAAACCAAAGCATAGAATTTCCCTATATTTTATATATATATATATACATATCTCATAATATTTATAAGGGAATTCTATATAACACTTTAAAAAATGATGTATTATATGCCCGACTTTTTGTGGTCTTTAGCTATAACTCATTTAGTTATAATCACTTATAGATGTTATTTTGGTTAGAACCAAAGAAATCTTTGATAATACTTCAAGTGATATTTGATTATGATGCATTTTGGTGTTGGTTATAACTCGTAATGCTAGCCGTAATTTAGTTATAAATTACTGTAATTGTTATTTTGCTTTAACAGGAGAATTTATTGGTTATATGTAAAGTGAGATTTAATTATGATTTATTATGACCCTTCTGCTTATGACTAAAAGTTTATATTAAAATCACAAACAATATCTTAACTTGCGTGTGGTACACTCCAAAATAGGAATGTGTATTGCAGAAGCTCTTTTTATTCGGCATGTTTGGTGCAGCTGGTAAGCTAAAAGTTTTTTTTGGATGGGTAATAAGCTAAAAATTGATAATAATAATAATAAGAAACACCCCCTCCTCCATCTCCTAAATAGTTTTCTTTTGTTTTTAGTTTATTTAAATTATTTCGGTTATGTAATATATAAATAAAAGGTTCACTAAATAATCTAACACATTTTTAAAATAAAAAATATATATATATATATATATATATATTGTAAATAACTCAAATAATCTATACCAAATACCCTATTATAATATTGCTAAATTCCTGACACTAACAACTTTCTATTGTATATTTATATATATCTAGACGGGTAATTGATAGAATCATTGGCAGCCAGCAAATCTTTTTCCTATTAGGACACTCTCTGCTACCTTGGTGCTACTTGAGTTCAAGTTAACTTTGTTACTGTAGACTATGTTAAAAAATCATGAATTTGTGGAGGGATTGTGGATTCAAATAATAAAAAAATGAAAAAAAAGAAGAGAAGTAAAATAAACTAAATTTATTTATTCTTTTGTTTTTTTTTTTTCGCTTGATAAATATGCTATGTAGAAATTTAATCATTCCAATCATAAAATAAAGTAAAAAACAAAAAACAAAAAAACAAAACACATAACACAAGATATACATGATACGTTCTAGTCCTCTCCCTTCATAAAAAAAAAAAAAACTCCAGACAATAAATTTGAACATATAATAAAAAATAATAGATACCTCAAAATTCAAAATCCAAACATATTGTTAAGATTTGAGTCCCTTTATTAAAAATTTCTTGTAAAAGAAAACTAATCAAAAGGTACCTGTACATATTAATTCAATAAGAGAAATTATTTGAAATTTTATTTTATTCTTCACAACTCGCTTCTCAAATGCAAAATCTAAAAGTCCATATTAAAATTAAAAATTTTTGAATTTTGTTTTCTTAAATGATTAAATTCAAAATGCTTTTTGTAATTATAAAATCTCCATGCATCTTCCAATAATTTTGTTGTATATTTTGTTTTACTTTGACTCCATCAATATTTTGGTGTGCAGTTATATATGATCGAGTTCAAGTTGCTGAGATTGGAGTATGCTGGATTACCCTCCTACAGTCAATGGCAAACTTATTGTTTCTTCCAATAAGTTAAAAAGCAAAAAAATAAAAAATAAATTGCAAAACTATTCAACTACCTATAGTTGTATAAGAAATGATATGTGTGTGTGTGTGTGTGAGTGAATATGTGCGGTAGTAATGTCATATTACTCTATCTTGGTTCTTGAACTTGCTGATGAGATAGAATTTGTATGATTTTGGAGGCTAAGTGTGCTAATTATGTGGGATATATACTAGCAGGGTATTTTATTAATTTATTTTTGTTGGGATTTTATTATTATTTTTTGTCAGCAAAAAAACACGAGCTATTTTGTTTGGATTTCATAATCATAATTCTATTGAAAGAAACATGGATGAACATGTTTTATAATTAGGCTGGGTAAACTAGCTAGGCCAGGGAGAAATATCGTCAGTCCATGTTAGCTGAGACTCAACATGGAGATTGGTAAAAAATTTATCCATAAAAGAAGATACTTGCATAAAAATAGATCTTAGAATGCGTTAGTGAATATGATGTATATATATATATATATATATATATATTCACTATATATAGGGAGTGCTAGGGGCTTATTGTGTATTTGGAACCTTGAAGTTTTCATGGTGTTAAGAGTGTTGCTGCGGCAAGCATTTGATAGTGCTCTTAGGTATGACTTTTGATCTTTTTGAGTGTGTGATTTCAAACATTTACGCACCCAATGATGTTGATAGTAGAGGTAAGTTGTGGGATACACTTGTAAGGATTAAAAATGATTTTCAAAAACCTTAGTGTGTTGGAGGGGATTTTAATGAAATTAAGCATTTATCTAAGAGAAGAGGACTATATGGAAGAGATAAGGGGATGAGAAAGTTTGGTAACTTAATTGAAAAAAATGGAATTGGATGATTTACCAACGGTAGGGAGAAGCTTTACATGGTGCAATTCACATGATGGGGAGACGTGGAGTAGGATTGATAGATTCTTATTTGATCCTATGTGGCTGGAGAAGTTTAAGTTTCCATCGTGGGGTTTGCCTAGGGATATATCAGATCATTGCCCTATATTACTTGGGGAGGACGATAGGAATGGGGGTCCTAGACCATTTAGACTCTTGAATGCTTGGACCCTACATCCTAATTTCCTTAAAATAGTAGAGAAATCCTGGGCAAACTCAAAGATTGATGACTGGGCTGCGTATAGATTTGTAAGGAAACTGAACTCTTTGAAGAGTGATCTAAAAAAATGAAAGGGTCATATAGCGATCCCGGTTTTCCCTTTACTGTTTAATCATATTCCAGACTCGGTTCCGTGGAATTGGTTGTTGTATACGTCTTGTTGTTATCCTTTAATTCCATGCATATGAGTTTTAGGATGTGTTGGGTAGGGTTGTTACAGGTTGGTTGAGCTTTAGTCCCAATTCTTGATGCCCAGATTTTTGGTGATCCGCTCGAGCGGGTCTTCTAGCGCTCGAGCGGAGTTTACACACTCTCAGTATTTTGTGCCTCTGCAAAACTTCTGCAGATGTGTTTTTCACGCTCAAGCGGTTTTCCTTACGCTCGAGCGGGCCTATTGGCGCTCGAGCGGGTAGTTCATTGTCTGTAAAAGTACTGGAAGAGGGAAATCTACGCTCGAGCGACTTTTCCTTTGCGCTCGAGCGGGTGTGTTTTGCAGTTGTGTCTTGGCGCTCGAGCGGGTATCCTTGCGCTCGAGCGGGTCCAATTTTTTGTGCTTGACGCTCGAGCGTTCTATTATCCACTCGAGTGGGTCATATGTATATCAAATATCAGCTGGGTGATTTTGAATCACTTTTCAACTTTCATTCTCTCTCTCACTTTCCCAAAAACCGATTTTGAGAGCTCATCTCTCTAGAAAATACCTTCTCTCTAAGGATTGATCTAGTTAGGATGACCTACTCCCTTAGTGTCTTTGCAAAGAGTATAGAGCTTGTTGTGGGCTTCCTATATAGCGATCCCGGTTGTCTCTTTACTGTTCTGTTGTATTCCGGACTCGGTTCCGTGAAGTTGGTAGTGGTATCTATCTTGTTGTCGTCCTTTAATTCCACTTGATTGAGTTTTAGGATGTTTTAAGCAGGGTTGTTACAGGTTGGTTAGGCCTTGGTTTCAATTCCTTGTTGTTCAGTTTTTAGGCGATCCGCTCGAGCGGGTTTTGCAGACCACGAGCGGGGATTGCACACCTGGGATTAGCTGGATATTACCATCGGTTTGTGAAAGATTTCTCCAGGCTAGCTTCGCCGTTGACTAGATTGACGCGAAAAAGGGTCAAGTTTGTATGGAGTGAGACTTGTGAAAAGTCGTTCCAAGAGTTGAAGGTTAGATTGACCACCGCTCCAGTTTTGATTATTCCGGAGAGACAACATAAATGTGTCCTCCTCTACCTCCCAACTCGTAGTGTCCTTGTGAGGTGCGAGTGCGTACGCTGTACCTGAAAATGATATCCCATATAGGTGAGCCACAAGACCCCAGTAGAGATATGTCTAAACACAGTATGAGCCATGCTAAACATTAGCAATTGATAAGTTAGTTTCAACTATTATGCTCCCAAGCCCACATAAAACCAGATTCATAATCTCATTCCATTTCTTATCAATTTTCACAACTTCCACAAATCGCATCAGAACCTGCGCACACCACTTATATAGCAGACCAAGACTCATCACTTTAAAACGTTCTTCCATTTTATACACATCAGCCATACACACACAGGTTATATCAATATCTCAACAGATAAGCATACAAGAATATATCACATTTCAACAAAGATACGCATATTTAGCTATATCAACACTTCTCATACAAGCATATGAGCTGTATCAACACTTCCAATGACAAGATATGAGCTGTATCAACACATTATCTGACCAAGCATATGAGCTGTATCAGTGGAGTCCATCCCCTATCTCCTCCCACACAACATCCAGTTTAGAGGTCCATCCCCTATCTCCCCTAAACCGTGGAGTACATCCCCTATCTCCTCCCACACACACACAATGCATATACACAAAGGTCATATACACAATCAATCAATACATAACATTAATGATTCTATCAACGGTCATACTCTATGACATATCCAATTGATTAGTTATTAGTTTGCCTAATCATCATGCATTGTCTACAACAATCAAAACTACCTCCACGGTAGCCAAGCAATTATTTCTAAATAAGAATAATAAAAGCTCAACAGATAAGAGATACAATGTTTTCAAAAGTGGCGTAACATAATCCAACTCCACTATTCTACCATATAATGAGTCAACTTCATTATTTCCAACTCAATTCACACACCTTTCCAAATTAATTATACCAATTAAATTACACAACGAGATTATGGGCTTTCTCCCCCCATTTCTCAAGTATTGACCAACTGGTCCATATATCAACATCAACATCAATACTGCTATTTTGAAACTCAAAATACTCATTTTAGAATCAAAATAATAAACCCTCTTTGAACATTTTGAAACCCTAAGTCCCAAAATTCCAACGTTCAACACTTAATCAAAACCAAAAATCTATGTTAAAGACCATAAAAGGTGAGTAGGAATCCCTACCTCAATTTCGGAGCCCAAGAGGCAGAAGATGTAGTGAAAACTAAAATGCTCCAAACTCCAAGATTCACGGATCAAAACGAAGCCCGTCGACGATCAACACAACTTTTACAAAGGCAAAGGGAAGGAAAGCACTCTAACTCTAGATCAAACCCTAGAGAAAAGGGAATTTCTAGAGAGAGAGGCTCTCAAAAATCTTTTTAGAAAGTAGGAGAGAGAGAGGAAGTGTAGAAAGTGATTCAAAAATGCCTAGCTACCTTCTGTTATACGACATTCTCGCCGAGCGGAAAACACAACGCTCGAGCGCAAGAAACAAAAATGCTGGACACGCTCGAGCGCAATAAGCCCGCTCGAGCGCCAAGATACAACAAGAATAAAGCACATCCGCTCGAGCGCGAAAACCAGTCCGCTCGAGCGTTAGATTTCCCCCTCCAGAACTTATACCCAGGAAGTACTACCGCTCGATGCGCCAACAAACCCGCTCGAGCGCCACCCTCGAGCGTAAACAAACCCGCTCGAGCGCAAAAATCACATCTGCAAAAAGTTTTGCAGGAACCCGAAATACTGGAGGTGTGCAATACCCGCTCGAGCGGTTCGCCTAAAACTGAACAACAAGGAATTGAAACCAAGGCCTAACCAACCTGTAACAACCTGTTCGAAAACATCCTAAAACTCAATCAAGTGGAATTAAAGGACGACAACAAGATAGATACCACTACCAACTTGCACGAACCGAGTCCGGAATACAAGAACAGTAAAGAGACAACCGGGATCGCTATATAGGAAGCCCACAACAAGCTCTATACTCTTTGCAAAGACACTAAGGGAGTAGGTCATCCTAACTAGATCAATCCTTAGAGAGAGGTATTTCTCTAGAGAGATGAGCTCTCAAAATCGGTTTTTGGGAAGTGAGAGAGAGAATCGAAAGTTGAAAAGTGATTCAAAATCACCCAGCTGATATTTGATATACATATGACCCACTCGAGTGGATAATAGAACGCTCGAGCGTCAGCACAAAAATTGGACCTCGCTCACGACGCAAGGAATACCCGCTCGAGCGCCAAGAACAACTGCAAAACACACCCGCTCGAGCGCAAAGGAAAAGTCGCTCGAGCGTAGATTTTCCCTCTTCCAGTACTTTTACAGACAATGAACTACCCGCTCGAGCGCCAATAGGCGCCGTCGAGCGTAAGGAAAACCGCTTGACGTGAAAAACACATCTGCAGAAGTTTTGCAGAGGCACAAAATACTGAGAGTGTGTAAACTCCGCTCGAGCGCTAGAAGACCGCTCAAGCGGTCAGCCAATAAAGAAACTGGCATCAAGAATTGGAGCTAAAGCTCAACCACCTGTAACAACCCTACCCAACACATCCTAAAAACTCATATGCATGGAA